ATGAATACATGGAAGCATGAGAGTTACTAAGGTGAACAAATATAGCAAAATACAAAAATATGATAAAATTCACTTAATAAAATAAAGAAACAAATTAATTAAGTTAACAATAATTAATCAACTAAATTAATTAATTTAGAATTAATTAATTAATTAAATCAACTAAAATATATTAACCATATTAATTTATAAGTATAGTTTATTAATTGATCATACAAAAAAAAGAATAAAGAAAAGACAAAAAATACTAACTAAAAAAAAGAAAAGAAAAATGGGCTCAATAAAAGCAACAAAATGCACTCGTGTAAGGCCCAAATAAAATGAGCCACAAAGGCCCAGAGCCCCGCCTTCCTTGAACACGGGTTGGTCCGGAGGCCCAAAACCCTTCCAATCTCTCCAAACCCTAGCAAGAGATGATTATGAAGTAAAAAAGGAGAAGAAAGTGGTTTGCCTCAACATCCCACGTGGCAGTCAATGCAGGTTACCATTATTAGGTGATCAGTTTTTTGGAAGGCAAATGATACTGACAATAATATTCATTGCACTTTATCATACGCCAAATTTCTCCTACCTATATATTACTTTCATCTGTGTATCCATCCACTAACCATCATTAAAAAAAATCCAAAAAATATGTTGTTTTCATTTTCTCTTAGCCTAAGTCTCGGTTTCATTTAAAGGTACCCAGGCTAGGGTATGCAGTTTATGTGGTGTGTGCCTGAAGTTGCACTTAGGGTTTTTGGGCAAATTCAATTCAGTTGTGTGGACAAGGGTGTCAGGCTATGTCAAGATTATCAGTGCTTCATGATTAAGAATTATCAGAGGGTTCATTCAAAGCTTGTTAGGATTTGGTTCTTATTGCAATTGTGGATTCAATTCAGGTGTGGCGTTGGGATTAGGTGTGCATCTGTGATTCTAGAATAAGAATCCGCTTTCATTATTCATGATCTAAATTCCATTTTATGTTCAATTTCCAAATATCCGTTTCTTTATCATCTTCTTTAACCCATATTCAAACCAACACAATCTATCTCATTCACCAAACTTGTTGATCTACTTTCCATTTTTCAAGCCCATTACATACAAAGTTCATATTCATACCAAAAACACAAAAAAAAAGTACAAATTAAAGGTCATATTAACCATAAACCCATTATCACCATACAAGGTCCATTTATATGATTACAACAAAATAAACTACAAGGCCCATACAAATTTCATTCAAAGAAAGCCCAAATACATTCATTACACTAAAAATTTTGCAACAAAAATAAGAGGGATATCTTGCCCATGAAGATTACTTTTACTTGACCATACACAAAGCCATTCCTAATACCACACAACAAGCTGATGCGATGAGAACAAACCTCAGCTTCACCCACACACAAGCTTCACACATCACCTACTTCACATACCACACCTTGAAACTACCTTAACACAAAATCCTCTCTCCATATTTTACGCACAAATTGCTCATACAATCTCAGTACACACACTACATAATATTCCATTTCACTCTTCATAACATAAACCATTCATGTTGGTACCTTTTCTTCACGCAAACAACCATCACCAAGGCACAAAAATCAACCTGCATAATTTCCTTATACAAGTTATAACCTAGCCACACTATCCATACATACAACGTGCCAATATCCCAAACCGTCCCATAACAAAACCATCAAGATTCACCATGAAGCCACAAACCAATTCGCAGGACCCCACAATTCCACTACAAACCATTATACACAACAAAACAAAACTGTACCAACATCATGCAATACAAACCATCACACAAATAATGTCCAACGCATACCATAAGCTGCATCTACAATCTTCTGATATCCACAACAGACAAAAACAACCAACACGTCACAATGCACAACAATAAAATCCCATTCTACCCTCACAATTCCTCTCATATAAATGAACCTCTTCCTCACCTTAAATAGAGCTCTCTCTAGCCAATGTTACCCTATTTATTTCCTCCGCCAACCTCAATTCAACCTCAAATCTGAAACACAAATCTTTTTCTCTTTCAACCTTTATCCTCGTCACAAATACTTCTTAAAACATTCAATTCCTCTTCATCCCTTTGAACAACAACGAACCGCAACATTTCCTCAAATGAAACCCAATCAAACACACTAACACAAACCTAAATCACATACACAAAATCGAGAATAGAGTGAGATGAGAAGGATAGAGTGACGAACTAAAACAGAATAAAATCATACGAATCGAACCTGAGATGGAAGCGCAAGAGACGGAGAAACGGACCAGATTCGTGAGTAAGGTTGAGGCGAAATCGTCGAGCATCTTTTGTTCTTCCATGAGTCATGTTTTTTGTTCTTACCGTGTCGATTTTCTCAAGTGTTATGTTACTCTTCATAAAAGCAATTTTGTTTTTTGTTTTTCTTTAAAACAAATAAGCCTGATGATCTATTTTTGAAGGCGAGTCATGTGTTGCTGGTTTAAGTGGGCCGTGAGGCCAACAATTTGTTTTTTGCTCATCACTACTATTGTTGCTTCAGTCCGAAGATTTTACCCCATACCCCTACCCTTATACCCACACCCATACACTCAAAAATATTGGACCAAAATAACCTTATTTAAATATCTATAATTTTAACATTTTTTTCATTTTCACTTCATTTCCACTTTCCATTTCAAGACTTCTGGAGAGCTCTAAATCCAGTTACAAATCAGAACTCTTCTACCAACTCTTCCAGAACATATTTGATTTGCAATACATACTGGAACTCTTTCCTGAAGACTTCCAGTTCATAAACTTTTGAGTTTGTTCATCGGAACTCTTTCCTGAAGACTTCCGGTTCATAAAAATTTTGAGTTTATTCACCGGAACTCTTTCCTAAAGACTTCTGGTTCACAAAAAATTTCGTTTCTTCTCCGGAAGTCTTTCTTGAAGACTTCTGGTTCATTGTTTTTTTTTTAAATTTCTTATTTCTAATTTTATTTATTTATTTATTTATTTTTAATTTTTAATTATATTGATTTTTTTCCAGTGGTGCGCACACGAGGCAGAGATGGTAGGATCCCTCGCGGACTAGGACGAGGCGAGTCATCGAGGATGGCTGAAGAAGAGCATTTTGATGCATCAGCATCAGCATCCAAGCCGGTAGGATATCCAGGAGGACCGTATGATACATCTCTGTTAATTAAATACGAACAGCATGTTGCATACCGTATATGGTTCAGTGAGGTAAGTAAACGAAAATTATTTAATATTGAATAGAATTCAAATTTTTAATATTGAATTTTATAATATTTTTACTTTTAATTTTTTCCAGGAGAGAGGGTCGAAGAAAGAGTTAAAGGTGGTGGGACATAGGTTGAAGTTGACTCAGAGGGTTCCACTACAGCTACCCAGAGAGATGGAGAGCTGGATATCTAGGTCTGGTCTAGCTTCACTTCAGAGAACCGGTTTAACAAAGATAGACACAAACCTAGTTTCCGCTTTTGCAGAGAGGTGGCATATAGAGACATCTTCATTTCACATGCCGTTTGGTGAGATGACGATTACTCTAGATGACGTATCTTGCCTGCTTCACTTGCCCATCAGGGGAGTCTTCTGGAACCCTCAAGATATCAGTGAAGTGCTTGCTGTTGAGTGGGCTGTTGATTATTTAGGAGTGTCGCAGAGAATAGCACAACAACAAGTTCGTGAGTTTAGGGGTTCCTACTATAAGCTGGAGTGGTTATATGATCGGTTCGTAAAGCACAAAGTTGCATCTCAATGGGATTATGCCACTAGAGCTTATTTGCTGATGTTAGTGGGTTCCACTATTTTTGCGGATAAGACGTTTACGCTTGTCGAGGCACGATACCTCTCACTGTTTATAGACTTGGATGGCTTATCAGGATACAGTTGGGCAGCAGCTGCGTTGGTTACTCTTTACAGATATCTCAGAGATGCTTCCATGTTCAGCTGTAAGCAGCTTGGTGGTTATCCGATTCTCCTACAGGTATTTATTTTAATTTAGTATATTTTGTTTTAATTAATTTTATCTAGTATATTAATTTTATTTATCTAGTTTATTATATTATAATTAATTATTTTAAATTTTGTAACAGTGCTGGATTCATGAGTATTTTCCAACACTTGGGAAAAAAGGAGAGAACTGGATACCAGCTAATAATGTGGGTCTCCCACGAGCGATGAGATGGTCCTATAGGCAAGGTGCCTTGAAGGTGGATGACTTGCGGCCTATTCTGGACGAGCTGACACCTACCGATGTCATATGGCGCCCATTCGAGAATCATAGAGTATGGCGTCAGTTTGATGAGTTATGTCTCTATAGGGGGTGTCTGAGGTAGGGTGACACTATTGTTCCATACTTGCCTGACAGATGTTTGTGTCAGTTTGGATACAGGCAGTATGTTCCACATCCACCTCTTGATTCTCGAATGGCTGGTGATATTGATGTTGACTGGATTAATTCCCATCAGAGAATTCAGAATGTGATTCGTCCGACAGCACCGGCCACCACCCCATATGAGACAGATGATGGGTATCTTGAGTGGTATTATCGTGTTTCGCATCCTCGTCTGGTACCGCCCAGTGTTGATGCGACAATAGAGATGCCAGTTCCTGTATATGAAGCAGGACCATCTGATCCTATAGTGGCTCGTATGTCTTCATTGATTCATCGTTATCTTCAGCAGACTGGTGCTGAAGAGGGACCCACAGTTTGCTGATTTGTTCGAAGCTTTACATCTTGGTCAATCATAGTGACTTATATTTATATTTATGGTTATATGTTAACCTTTAGACATATTTGACCTAATTGGTTTATGTTCATGTGTTAACTTTTAGACTAATTTGACCTATTTAGTTTATGTTTATGTGTTAACATAATTCACGATTCATGTTTTGAAATTAAAAACGAGTAACATAATTCACGATTCTTGTTTTGAAATTAAAAACGAGTAACATAATTCATGATTCTTGTTTTGAAATTAAAAATGAGTAACATAATTTATAATTCATAATGCGTTGGTAATATAGGCGTAAGTTGTTGCCAATGTTGTAGACGTCCTGCAAATCCTATCATCCAAGATGTTGCTGCTGGAGAACGAAACTTCTTCCAATCTTCTGTCACTGGTGGAAATGGAAACCCTTCTTTCATGTTTACCTAAATAAAAAAATAATCACAATATTAAGTAAAAATAACGAAAAAGAATTAGGTTTAATCGCATTATCTAAAAACAACTAAGTACCTGAACCCAATGATTTCTGTTTACAAAACTAATGCAGTAAATTGCTACATTCGGTGAAAATGAAGATGTCATAGGGAAGAAAGTCCAGCATTCAATTCCTAAACAGACAAGTACAACATTATAACAATTCGCTATCACGTAACCCATATCTGGTAGAATTAACCATTTATGTTGTGGCTGAGGACCAAATTCCTCTATCATCAAAGATTCTCTCACTACTGCTAACTGATCAGTAAATAAATTGACATACAAACTTGATCTTTCATTATGTATTATTTCCAAACCCAAGTCTCGACGAACCATTGGCCAACCATCTTCACCATATCCATGCAATGAAGTAATGACTCGAAATCCACAATTACCATCTGATACAACATTAACTACATCATCAATATATGACCTGATGTGATTAGGAAATTGAAGGATGAACTGCTTAGATAACTGTGAAGATTGTGATAATTTCAACTTTTTCGAAGCCTGTGATGGTTGAGATTTCTTTTGTGAAGAATGTGATAATTTCAATTTCTTCGAAGTTTGTGATGGTTGAGATTGCATCTGTGAAGATTGAGATGCTAGATCAACATACTCGTGATACGAAGGGTCTCTATAAACATCATATCCTACTGGTTTTTTGTCTTTCTTCTTGACTCCCCCTTTAGTTTTTATTTTCTCAGGTGGTGGAAACATAGAAGTCATTGTAGGGAAGGCAAGTTCAAAAACCCTACTTTTTAATGCCCTTTTCCCAACAACATCCAATGACTTAAACCTTTTCCATAACTCATCTATTGCACTACTCATATCCACCTTTGATCCATCATCTACATCTTCGTCCAACTTAACCTCCATACTTAGTTTTCTCCAATGAACATGTACAGCATCTATTGGTATCGGTAAACCATCAATTCTATATCCTGTCAACTCACAAGCACAAGGTAATCTGTAGGTTGTTCTAAGAGTACAACGACATATTTCCTTGTTAGTTCCAACATAATCAACTCGTTTTAACTCTTCAGCAATGTGTCTCCATGCATCTCGAGACACTGAACCACGTAAATTATTGTAAAATGGACTTATGTGGGCGTGCTCAACTTCATAAAAACTCTTTTGAAAAGAAGCTCTAATATTACTCAATTGTAACTTTAAGTTGTCATTTATAGCCTCCCAACATTTGACCATGTCACCAATACTGTTCCCTAACATTTGCTTTAACTTCCAATGAGCAGACTCAACCCTAAAATTAATACATATTTAAAATATTTTAAAAAAATTCAAAAAAAATATACAATTTAGAAATACTAAAAATAAATACATACCCATTAGTCGTAGTGTTACCTAAATGTAGCACTCGATTAATCCATGGTCCAAAAAATCTTTGTCTATGTGGTGTCAACCATGTGTCCTTCACATAATCAATAAATTCATTACAATCAACACACGCCTGCTCAAGTTGGTTCAACCTTTGATCATACTCAACCTCATCACTAGCCCATACAACATCCGTCCATAATTCGTCAATTTTCTTTTGCATGTCACTAGCCACATATTGTTTCCATTTTGCACCAACATTCTTGTTAATATGAAATCGACATAGCATATTGATCGACCTTGGAAACACAATTTCAATGGCTTTCATCAAAGCAAAATCTCTATCTGTCAAAATCACTTGTGGACACAACTCTTTCTTCACAAACAATTGTTTAAGCTTATCTAGCACCCAGCAAAAAGTCTCAGTTTGCTCAGACTCAATATAGGCAAATGCGACAGCAAAAGTCAACTCGGTTGATGTCATGCCAACAATTTCAAACAGAGGTTGCCTATATTTGTTTGTCTTGTAAGTGTTGTTCATAACTAGCACAATAGGAAAAATATTCAACAACTTAACTGAATCTGGATGAGCCCAAAAGATATCTCTAACTACTTCAGAGTCATCTCTTTTTCTACTCCAATAAACATAACCTTCTTCCTCAATAAGCTTAAACAAATGTTGCATCTCACTTCTAGGACCTCTTATATTTTTTTCTATCATACTCTTCTGTTTGTATATTTGCGTGATTCGAGTGACATTATCTGGATCTTGCTCTTGTAATGAAAGCAATATTTGTCAAATCAACAACATGTTGCTTCTGATCCACTGTCAACCTACCGACAAATGCGTGACCTTCTAATCTATCAGGTAAATCATGGTTATGAACTCCACATTTACATCAATCTTCCATCTTGATCCATCAGTCGCTGGAATTGATCTGATTCTAAATGGACATCCACATTTTTTCGTCGCACTCTGGGTTCCACTATCAATATCTCTGTGTTTTCCTCCTTTATCACATCCAAATATTAATTTGTTACTTCTTCCTCTCTTGCTTGTTTTAATATCTGAACGAGTGATGATAACCGTAACTTTATTTCGGATTCCGATCTCTTTAATCCATCTTATTACCTCTTCTCATGTACCAAATCTTTGAGTTGTTGAAAAAACATCAGACGTATCTACGCATATCTGATCTTTATCGCATATTTATAAAGGAATTTCTGAAACCTCTTCTCGTGTACCAAATCTTTGAGTTGTTGAAAAAATATCAGACATATCTATGCATATCTGATCTTTATTGCATATTTGTAAAGGAATTTCTGAAATAATTACATAAAAAAATTCAAAAAAAATTATTAAAAAAAAATTGGACAATTCAAACCGGAAGACTTGTAACAAGTGTTCCGGTAGCCAAAAAAACAAACCGGAAGACTTGTAAAAAGTCTTCCGGTTTGTTTTTTTGTCTACCGGAACTCTTGCTACAAGTCTTCCAGTGAACACCCACGAAAATTTCCAAACCGGAAGTCTTTCCTGAAGTCTTCCGGTACAGTATTTTTGTGAACCGGAACTCTTTGTCCAAGTCTTCCGGTTTGAGAAAAAAAGCCTACCAGAAGTCATTTTCAAAGTGTTCCGATAGATCGTGGGATGAATTTCTCGGAAGTCTGAAAAATCTAAAAAGTGAAAAAAATAATAAAATATTAAAATATATAAGGATAAAATGGGTATTTTTTTTAAAATGTAGGGGTATGGGTATAAGTGCAGGGGTATAGGGTAAAATTTCCCTTCAGTCCTCATCACTTTTTTTTTTCAATTTTTAGGTAGCTTGATGGACTCTTGGGCCCATGATGAATTTCATACGCCCCCTTTCTTTTATTTTCTATTCAATGTTTTTTTTATTTTCTTTTATTAAATTTTGCTTCATTTTTTATAAATAATTTTTCATTATTTATTTTGTTCATGTATCTTGATTTGGATTTTATATGTTACTAATCTCTAGATCTATTCTCACATTTCATTTCCTTTTCGATTTTTATTTTTATTTTTACTTTGGTCTATGAACATCTTTAATGTCATGAATATTGGTTGTTGAGGTTGTTCAACCTTCATTATTTCAAATCTGTAGGGATTTATCCTTTGGATTATTTTTTATATTGTGTGATCGTGATAGGTTACCTTCAATTAATCAATGAAAGTTCACAATTAAGACGAGACATTTCTCTCTTTTCTTTTCGTGTAGCACGATTGTTTGAGAATGATATACATATCATTTCTCTATCGTATTTTAGCACAAAAATTGTTATTTGACCAGCCTCTCAATGCATGATCTTCCTCATAGATCGTGCTACGATTTCTTAGCACTACAGTGTACCCAATTCGAGAAGTAAGCATCCGATCATTAATAATTAACAACTAACAACTGACTTTAATTTTTGCTCATTATTATCCTGATTTATATTTCTGTCAATACATCACTATTATCATATTATCGTTCATATCATAGTGTCATATTATTCATATCTTGTTCATCTTATTCAAAAAACACAAAAACATGATAAAATTGAAAAGACAAAAATATTAATTGTGGTTACTATCCCTTGCAAGGAGAGTTGGATCCGTACTCTTGTCTATTGCTTAGTTTATGACACCTTGCACACACACGACTTTCTCTTGGGCTACCTGACAATGACTTCATTTATTTCTCGCAATTCTGAGTACTTTACATGTACCCCACTCCCTTTCTGATGTATGCATTTTGCTTATTTTTCTTTGATTGTGATTTTGTATACATGATCGACATAGACTAAACTATTTTCAAAATAATTCTCGATCCAACGTTGAGCCATTTTTCACCCTCATAAGTCGACTGCCTTGTGCATCTCCATCAACCTAACCAAGTTAATCACCACCCTTTCATTTCTCTCTCTTTCATCATCATTTCTCCTTGTGTCAAAAAACCTTGGTCTTGTACCAAGTGCATTTTCAAACTTTTTCTTAATAAACTTAGATGGTTGTGGAATGGTTAAGTGAAGGCCTTGTCCTATCTCGAGTGTTTGATATTACCTTTAGGGTTCACTGTCATAATGTACTTACCATCCAAATTAAAACACTTCTTAAATAAGAGAATAAGGTTCTCTTTGTATTGAACTAAAGAGAGGGGCTTGAGTGAAGGCTTATTCCTCTCTGAGTATTAGGATGCTCACTTTAGAGTATGTGGTCTCGATACTCGTCTTTCAATATGAAGACATAACTATATTCACCACACCATTTTCAAAATAAATCTTTTGAGATAAAGAATTGGTTACTACTCGCAGGGGTTCCTATCCGAGGACTTATTTCACCTCTAAAGTCAATCACTGATCAAATGTGACATCTTTCCTCAATGGCAAAAACTTAAACCTTTTCAGAAAAGGGAATGTTATTTTCGTTCTACTACAATACAGGTAAAGCATAAGACTCCACGAGCGAGCGACAGTACACCTAACTTCTAGAACGTAAACGTTATCATCGTCCATAAAAAACACCAAAAAATCATAGTCCTACAAACTACGGACACTCTGATTTCTCATACCCGTTAAGAATACGTAGGCACAAGGGCCCCAATCTTTGGCGAGCCACCTTTTCCCTTCTTTCACAAATTTCCTTCATAATCTTTGTTTCTTAACCTTTTTCCTTTCCCTTTTTGAACATTCTTAGAAAGCATAAAGCCCTTAGCAACATCCTTACACATAAGACAAATGAATGGTTCCCATCGAGTACGATAGATGTGAAGGGTGCTAATACCTTCCCTTTGCATAACCGGCTTCCGAACCCATAATTTGGTTGCGAGACCATTTTATCCTTTCTCTTGGGGTTTTTCTAGATGTTTTCCCTTCCCCTTTTGGGATGAATAAAGTTCTATGGCGAATCTATGACTTTTCGCCCACATCGTTCATTTTTCGCGTAGCGACACACTTTAATTAAAAATAACTCAGTAAATCAATGAAATCAAACTCAAATTTTATTTCTAAAGCAAACATCTATCTACTCTCAAAAATCATATTCTCCCACCCTCTCTCTTATATTCACGCTCCATTCTTCTTCTCACTCACCTATGAATGAATAAACAAATGCAAAACTTACAACCCAAAACATGATCAATTGCGGCGGAAGATATGAGTCCTCACGGCGGCGATCAAGAACACCACAATGACATCGCCCCGAGATTCCCAGAACTCCAACCTAAATCGCTACTCTCCCCAAATAGAAACCCACGATATTGTTCAGATTGTGAGTCACAGGGAGTTTTGTATATCGTCTCCAAAGGAATTGTCGTGATATAACTAGTTGTTATACAGTTTAAATTATTTTAAGAAGGGTTTCCAAAGTTTGTGTGTTTTGGATCATAAGTTTGTCACATTTTTTGTATTAAAGATTAAAATTCTAAAAGATGTTGTTTAGCATGACATATCAAAGATAAGTTTCGTCAACCTAACTTATATATATTCGATTAATCAAGCATGTGAACTCGTTTATGATTAATACATTCGTGTATCCTCTTAATACCATCTATGTTTAGAGTGGTGTCGTGAATATTATTGTATCTATCATTAGATGATGTCTCATGCAAGCAACCGATAAAATAATCTTTAAGAACAACACAAATCAAATATTAACTCATAAATCTATGTCTAGAGTTTATTTGTTGATAGATGAATATTTTAGATCAAGGTTTGTAAAATTTATGTCTAAAGTGATATAAATCATAAATGGATTATTAAGAGAAAAAACATTCAACATATATTAATCATTCACTTGTTCACATACAAATAGATCAAAATAAATACATACAAGCTAAGATAGACTACATCTACCTTTATACAAAGGACTTAGCTACCCATTGTCATGGTAGATTGCTCTACAAGACAAGAAAGAAGATGAATGGGCATCCAAGATGAAGAATCAATCTAGGATGTGAATCCAACTTCTACTTACAAAAGATCTCTTCTTGATGAAGAAATTATGAAATTAGGGTTTTTTTCCTCCCCAAGACAATGTTCTAAACTAAAAAAAATAGAGTTTGTAGGTTATTTTTCCAAAAAGTGGAAAAAAGGAGATAAATATCTTTACAAAATCTGTTCTTTTCACACTGTGAACCCCTTGTTTGCACTACGAACCCTACTTATAACCACTTTAAGTGCCTCTGAACAGATAAACTGCCCCTGAAGATTCCATGACTTTGTACTGTGAAGCTTTTGTTCGCACTGCAAACCTGCTCGTCGAGACCTCGCACTGCCATCAACTAAGGGTTTAGCTACTGTCATCCAAAAGTTCTTGTTCACAGTTTTTTCGTGTTGAGCTCACATTGCGAGCTTGCTTTACCTTCACACAGCAAACCTGTAGACTTCTTCTTCATTTCTTTGGCTTCCTTATTAATTTAAATGTGTTTAGTTCTTTGACAATCCAACATATTTTCTACGCAATTGCAAACATATCAAAGCATCTAAAGGCAAAATTCAATTATGTTGAGGAATCATACAAGAACATGAAATAATTCAATTGAAACTTGATAAAAGAGTTGAAAATGCCAATAATCATAGATCAAAATAAGGCATATTTGGAATTCAATAGATATCTCACACAAAAATACAACCAAAATCACTAAATCAGAGCATTCAACTCAAAAAACCTAACATCTTCAAAGT